TATTCCCTCTTTAAGGGAGCTATACAAATTCTCATCTTCATTTTGCCTATGCAATGCATATTCCTTATGCAGCTAGAACTTCACTGCCTGATTATGTTTTGTAGGTGGGAGGAAAATCATTTTAAAATAATGATTGGTGACTTACTGTTGTTCACTGTTGCAAGGACACAGACAGTATGTCCCTCTTCCTATCTGAGAGGCAAGTAATTGGGCTTACATCCTAGTTTCTTAGTTTTTCTGAAGGTAGTGTGTTGAGGGGAAGGAGAGACTGTGAGCACACTGTCACAGGTGCTTACCACCTGGAATGCATGGTATTCTGGGTTACATGCATCTAGTGTGCTTCTAATCAGTGCTGTATCAGAGGAGGCAGAGGAATGTAGTCTTTGCTTTTCACCATTCAGGACAGCTTCCAACATCCACCTTGATGACTTTGTCACCAGCTCTCTTGCTGTCCAGAAATTGATCTGTCTCACCATCTTTACCTAAGGCTAAAGGTAAACTGTGTAAACTAGTATCAAAACTAAGAAAGTATTTGGCCTTTTACACTAATGCCTTGCATTTCTGTTTAGCATTCAGCAGTAGTTCATTGTCACTGGTCCTGTTCCAGTTCATTGTCAGTTTTGCTCATTGGTTTTAGCAGCTGATTTTTTCTGTTGGGTGCATCACCTATGCAAAGCTGCAGCATAGCTGCATCACAGTAAGGGTTGAGAAAAGCCTCTTCTGTAGTGTATGGGCCTGTGGTAATTGCTAGACAAATTGTAATCCTATGCTCCAAGTAACTTTTATTTTTTGCTGAAGAGTTACAAACAGATCATATTTTTGAGTCAGTGTAGTCCCCTGAGGTTTTTGTATTGGAATATGCAATATACTGGAACAGCACCAGTGACGGATTCTAACCAGTGACTTACCAGTGTCTTTCTCTCATACTACTGGTTATCTCTCACTTCCATGTGGGTGCAAGAAAGCTTTCTTACTGATACTTGATGAGTAGAATAGGGATTAAGACCTTCCATGTTTTATCTGCTGTCTTCCTAGGCTCCAATAGTCAGTGCTGACAACTCACAATTTTACTAGAAATCTTCTGATGCATATTATTTCATATCTTGGCACTTGTGTTATGTTACTGTAGGTGAAATTCACCTCCAGCATTTTTAAAATAAGTTTCATGGTCATTGAGCAGATCCTGAAAGTATGACCCCTGAAGGCTTAGAAACCAGAAAGCAAGCATGAAGACCTTCAGATTTATTATTTCAAATATCTTGATCTTTATTCCATTTTTGTGGTACTGTGGATCTTGCCTTCTGATACTGGAATGCTTGAGGCAGACAGCACTAAGATTTCATTTACACACACTATGCAGCATTGTTTGCGTAAGTATTTCTGAGCAATGAGGAGGGCCCATCCCAAAAGTAGGAGATATGGGAGGATGGGAACATCACAAGTCTTTTCCTTCAGTGCTGTAGGGCCTTTCATGACTCTGAAAGTCATCAACAGTACAAATGAGAGTTTGTTTGCTTGCATTTTTTTACAAGCAGGAAAAGTGCAAGTATCAAATTTATGGAAAAAGAGTACAGCGAAAATAAAATAGTCTGTTTCTAAAGCGTTTCATTCATTATGTATTTATTTTTATTCTGAAAAATCTGAGATTAGTTTACGTAGCATTTTGAAGCTGGGTACTTTGTGAGTGGGGCTCAAGTGCAGTACTCAGGTTGCATGTAGCGAGGCATACAAATGTCAGTTTTGCTAAAGCACGAAGAAGTCATATTTAGGAACTGATCTTTCTGAGGATAACTGAAAGAACTGAGCTCAGTCATCTGTTCAGTGGCCACCAGCCACAGAATATAATCATTCAGGAGATCAGTCTCATAACAGAATACATTTCTGTTATTTTTTTTAAGAAGTTATTCTTTCAAGTCTTTTCATACAGCATATGTAAGCATACAAATAAACAAGACTCGGTGTAGGAATTGCTGTGATAGAACTTTAAATTGATTTTGAAACAAAGCTGCAAGTTAATGGTGCTTTTCTGAGGCCATGGAGATCCACAGATTAAATGAAAATATTTTGATAATTGGTTCAACATGTAATCAGAAATTTGGGCAGCATTTAGAAGATGAATTACTGAACCATTAGCAATCAAGGGATATGATTGAAGATCCATATTAATAAACATCTGTCACAGTGGCATAGCAGATGTATTAGGTGCATTTATAGCATAAAATATAAATTTTTTATGAGTACATTATTTTTTTACTGCAAAGTGTGTTACTTATATCTCCTGCCGTTTGTTTGATTTTGCAATAGTGAAAGTGCTATTTAAAAACAAAACAAAACAAAACACAACGTGAGAACAGTATTCAGATAAATTCCAGAATGTGATTATACTAATTGAGCTAATTCTGAAAGATGAATTTTCTTCAACTGCTGTTCTGCAGCCTATCATGGCTGGTTTATTTGTCAGCATTCTGATATCGATAATCCTGATTCTGCTACTTCTCCAGGCTCAACAAGTGATGTTGGTTTTATAATGTGCATCATGTAGACTGTACTACCTCGTGCGTGTCTTTTCTAAATGTCGAAGTCTGAGCCAGGCAAAAACTGCCACTGTGTTCTGAAGATGAAAATTATAAAACTGATAAATGCATTTGTAAGACACAGCAGTCTGCTACCGGAAAACCAACTCAGTAACTCCAAACAGTTCTTTAAGTACTATTTCTGTGTCCAGAATATCATTCAACTTAAAATCCATTCATCATATTTTCAAAAACTGTGATCTTTGCAAAACAGTATATGAGCAGTCTGAAAGAACAATCTGGCATAATTTTTATATGCCATTAAATCTCTGTAAACAAAAATGTAACCAGGTTGATAGCTCAACTGAATTTTTGAGTCAGGCTTTGACTCAATTATTTCATATTTTCATTTATTTTTGGTGGGGATTTCTCCTACCTTTGTTGTGGTACTCTGGGTAGTTAAATTAATAATTGTACCTCCTGAGAGTGGTCTTTTTTATTTTTGTACTCGCTCTAAAGGCTATTAGCAATAGCTAGTGGGTAGGAGTGTTAAAAAACATCATTATTAGTAGCACATGATAATGCTGGAAGTAGGATAGCATAAGTAAATTCTGAAAATGATATGACTGTTGATGAGCAAGATGTTCTGGGCAGGAAAAGGCATTCTGAAAGATTAATTTTGGAATCAGCGTTTCTATGGAACAATAAAGCCTGCAAGAAAGAGTATAATAATAGGAAGTATTGGAAGGAGTCAGTAGTTGAAAGAATTTTAAGAAAGGTACAGGGTTTTGTGAAGGTTAGCTCTGTGGACTAAAACAATACCAAAAGTAAGACCTGGCATACTTCCTAGCCCATGATATTGCTATGATTAGTTTTGTCAGTTCTCCCAGTTTTCTCTTGCATCTAGTAATGAGTTTTTCCCTAGAGTATCTACTTCTGAAGACCTCTGAGTAGATGAGCTGCTGAGATCACTGATTCACATCCAAAGATTTTTTTTTTTCTTTCAGTTGTCATCTCTTTCCTTTACCCTTATTGTAGAGGTGCCTAAAATTACTAAAGTCGTGGTACTGAGTTGGAGTGCATTGCTGGCCAGTCACTGTGGCTGTTTATGCTAAGACAACCCTTGTTTTGAATTGCACAGAGCCTTCAGCTTTTATTTAAAAATAAAATGATTTGGGCTTCAGTGGTTATAAATGAAATGCTTGAAGACCTGACCAGTGTGCAGTCTTGAGTTCTAGAAGTAAACAAAGCTCAAAATGCTTTATACATTTTGTATATACTTTTCATTTTTACTCTCTGGATAGTGTTTATGAAGAAATTAAGAAATGGCTTTAAACTGGAAGAGGGTAGATTTAGACTAGATTTTAGGAAGAAATTCTTTACTGTGAGAGTGGTGAGACGCTGGAACAGGTTGCCCCAGAGGGGCTGTGGTTGCCTGCACCCTTAAGGCATTCAAGGCCAGGCTGGATGGAGCTTTGAGCAACCTGGTCTATAGGGAGGTGTCCCTACCTATAGCAGGGGGTTGGAACTATATGATCTTAAAGGTCCCTTCCAGCCCAAGCCATTCAATGATTCTAAGATGTAGACAGGGGGAATATTTGAGGTAAAAAGTTTTAGGAAGTTAAAATGTAATGCTGTTGATATAGCTTTTAGCTTAATCTTATTAAAAGATCTCTTGACAGCTGTGTTCACACATGCATAGGCTGCACAATAGTGTACAACTTTCTATCTTTATGTAGTATCTCATGCCTGTTCAGCAGGAAACATGTGAGTTGTGAGTCTTGGGACTTGGTAAAGGTATTTCATTGTCTTCAATATCCATTAAGGAGTCACACTTTCCAAAGACCTGAAAGCCCCCGAGTAAAACTATATGTAAACAGCAGTAGTCTCCAGTGCTTATGGTATATTCAGGAAATACCTATTGTATATAATCAATGGTATGTGGATGACTATATGTAGCAACAGATGCAGAATCAATAAAATGCATAGTCAGTTACGAAGCTCTAGGAAAATTCTCAGGGGAATTGCTGGTTGCAAGATAATATATTTTTTTTACCAGCTAGAATACAAAGGAAACATTCTCCAGCCCTTGATCCTTGTCCTGATTCCTGTTCCATAGCTTGAGAAACTCTGTCCAAGTGATTTTATTCCAGCAGTTTGCATTTTTAATTGAAAGATGAGAGAAGAGCTGTTTTGTCTTTGTGAACTTACCTGATCAATACAAAACAATTTGATTTATTTTATGTTAGTGTATTTTCTGTCTCCAGGTATGATTATACCTACTTGAAGCTCCAGGGAGAAATACCCTCCTGCTCATTCATACATGCCATCCATTCGGCAAAGATTCTACTATGCACTCTATTATTAAGAGACTTAAAATGTTAAGAAAACATGATAGTTCTACTTCACAGAATGTGATAGTAAATTCATTTAAATGCCTGAGGGTCCAGGAAGTTTTATGCATCCAGAGGCAGTAGATGGGTTTGGATTAATGGAGTGACTGAAAACAAGGTGATGAGCTGAATTTCTTCATGAGGGATTCCGTGAAGTGGTGCAGAGGATTTCTTTTACGGTGTTGTTAAGACTTCCCCAAGCAGCTCTTGTGTGTTGCTAAACAGCCATGTGGGAGAATCTGGCCTGTCCAGACTCCTCAGGCAGCTCCTGCTGTAAGACTGATGAAACAGTACACAGATACACAGAAGGCAGCTGTAAATTACCACAGGGTCTGCTCCTGCAGATGCAGAAATGGTGACTGAGGACAGTCTTTGTCCTCATACAGAGGATGCATGCAGTTTGGCTAATTAATGGTAGTTGAATATGCAGAACGGTTGTGTAGGACCACAGGCAAGCCAAGGGAGAGAGAGCTGCCTTCTAACTGTGCTGCAGAAATAGTGGTACAGCTGGAAGTAAGGTTTTGGTTATGTAACCTCCTTTCCTCCTGGAAACCACGTGGTAAGTGCAACTTCCCAGCAGCAGTCCCAGCTCTGACTGTTTAGCATGATGTTCTGACATGGAATGCCTATGGAAAACCGTAACGTTTGCTTCAACACTCTGCTTTTGGGCTTCTGTACAGCACCATAAAATCAAAAGGTAAGGTTTGCACTTAATTTTTTTTTTTTTTTTTTTTTTTTTTAAGTACACAATTGAACAAGGGAAATAAATGCACATAACAAATTACAGCACTGTAGACTTAAAACAGCCATTTTGAATTTTCTGATTGACTTTTAACCTCTATCTGCTGGGATTACCTTGAGTTTTATTGGTATAACCCTCCTGCAGTACACATAACGAAATAGTCTGGAAGAAAAAGGTTAAGAAAAAACAAACTTAGGTTACAACAGATTATTTTCAGAATAATTAGTTTGCTTTCTCCACCAGAGAACTGGGAAGATAAACTTTGAAGAATAAAATGTTTGTTTCCTTTTTTAAAACTTATAGCATAGCAAGGGGATTTTAATAGGCAGAATTGACTTGTTTAATTGGCAGTGGTTACATGTCTGCACTATAGTAGCACTTACATTCATATTTTCACTCATTAATAACCTTCAGATGCTTTTTTTTCTGCTTCTGGGCTGCAACACTTGCTTTTTCTCGACCACGTTATAACTCTTCTCGAAAATTCAACACATGGCTCACAAGAGTGGGAAGCAGATGGGCCACTCTGCAGTGGGAGCCCTTAGAGAGAGCTCTGACTTTCTGACTCAGCCATAATTCACCTCTGTGCTTTCAGATGCTACAGACCTAGAATGGCAGCACTGTTATGTCTGAAACATACTCCACATAGCCAACACCTCCATGTTTACTCTTTCAGCTCTTACGGGAGACAACCCTAAGTACCTCTTATGCAGACAAGTTCTCGGTACCCACAGAAGTGTCATGGGCAGTGTATCTAGAGCTCCTGTAAAGGATGAGATTTGAAATCTCATTTTGCATGTGCGTGGTTTGCACAGTACAGGTCAGACTGCAAAGAAACTGTGTTATTAAAATGTGCGCTTAGATTTTTAAATGTTGTCTGTTCAAAACCAAGCACTTCCCACTTAAAGGCTTGGATTAAAAAAATAAATACATAAAGGACTAAAGCATAGAACCCTCCATCCTGTTGGATAGCTTCTTGTATTAACATATATGTTAAAACCTCTGGATAATTTCTGTTTGTGACAGGGAAAATAGTAGAGTGAAGAAGCAAATAACCAACCTTTTCTGTAGTCAGAAATGTTAACGGATGATTAAAATGATAGACATCCAAATTAAAGCCCATAACTGTTAAGAAGATCTGCTGATCTTAGAAACTGAAAACCAAAATAGTAGTGAGAAGAAAAGCAATCTTACCTCATCACAAATATGCTTGTTTAAAATATCAGAACACACGTGTGATGGTGTGGTACTGTCCTACACTGCACTGATAAAATTTTTGTGTATGGATGTGATGAACAGGGAGATGTGCGAAGCTATTTCTCATGGCATGTGGAAAAGGTGACTGTTGGATAACTAACTGGGGAAACCCTCTTCAACATATGTAAAACTTTCATCTATAACTAGACAAAGTGCAGTTAATAGAGCTTCATGTATGATATCTGCTCAGTAATTACATCTTCATATTTATTCAGATGGGCTATTATACACCATGCAACCCATTGCTTTTGTTACAATCTTACCTATTTTTAATAAATTAATATAGGAAGACAGTTGTGATCAAAGATGAAAAGGACTTTACAGTGCTTCTCAAACCTAGTTGTTGCTATATTATTATTTTATTGGGGGATTTTAAAGAGTACTTAAACGTGTTTTATGTATCTGTATTTATTTCGTATTTTTGGATATATATGGAATACACACACGCATATAGAATGGTTGCATGGTATAGCTCCTCTGAACAAATGTGAAGATATTAATAAAATATCCCATCTATGGTTTAATATTACCAGACTTTTGTCACAACAGTAACACAAGTGCATGTTTTTTTGTTATGCAGTGACAGTATTCCCCAGGGTCAGAACTGGCATGCTTCAGGAAAAGTATGAAGAGTGAGGTACAGACACTCTCAGGGGTGTGACTATTAGCTCTTTCAGATGCTAGCCAGGCATGATGCCACTTGAAAGCAGCCAAAGAGAAGGGAGAGGCAGAGTGATGGCGGTCTGCCATCAGAGAGCCTCAGTGGCTCTGGTGGCCCACAGATGAGAATCTGTTGCACAGGCATGGTACTCAAAAACTAGAATGCACCGGAGAGTATTCATGATGTTCCATGAAATTATCACAAGACTCAGGTTTTTTTCAGAGACTAAAATAAGTGACAGTGATATTGGTGAAATGAAATGAATTTTAGACATTGCTCTCATCACTGAATTTGTCAAAATCTCTATACTGGTGTAAAGGATTTAATTACTACTATGTCTTCTCATGCCGGCATTTATTTCCAATGTTATTTTAGCCACAGTTGCATTATTATTTTTCTGCATAAGTCTGAGAAAGCAGAGAAGTAACAGTTGGCCTTCTGTCCATTTAACTCAAAGGGAATGTTTGGATTCTTGAGCTGTTCCTATGTTCAAGGTCTTCCACTTCATTTGTCATAAATATTTCTTAAACACTAGTGCTGTCGAATTCAGAAGCCTCATCTACCTTAAGTTCATCCAGAAATTGGGTCACTGGTTATGCTTCCTGGAACAGGAGGTGGCTGCTTTGATGGAACAGATTTCTCTGACAGAAGATGTGCATCTTACATTAAATGTCATGGTTTACTGACGGACTGTGTATAACCACATGAGTGCAAGTACCATATAATCCTGTTGTGCCCTACAGTTGAAGGAATTCCCATGTCAAGGTTTTTCACAGAGCCTCACTTCACTGTAAAAAGACACTTTAGGAAGGAAACCTAAACCTAATCCACTAGTCCGGTCTTCTCTTTTCTAAATTAAATCATTCCAGGAATGTTGTGTTTTTTTGTCACTTACCTACAGATAACTCATTACTGTACAAAGAGAAGTGTTGCCTTTCCTCTGTGCATACCATTTTGCCATTGCTTTTTCTTCTGCAGTATTCTAGTGCCAATTCTTGATGTTTCTGTGATCAGTTGGAACTGGAAATTATTTCTTATTGTAACACTGCATAGGGACTGACACCTCACTTTTGTATCTGTTCATTTAATTATTCTATGTGAATGGACAGGTTCTCTTTTTGGTAATTATAGCTATATTTTCTTCCATACTTGAGATAATTGCAAGTCTGGCCTCCCAGTCTATTTATATCCCCTTCCATATGACTGTCAAGTGCATTTGCTGAGGTGAGTACAGTGAGTAACAGTAAGCCGTTCAGCTTTGCTTGGACGCAGAAAATTGTGATGGTGAAGCCTTTGAATATGAAGTTAGAATGCAAGTTAAAGCTAAGAATTAAGGGAGTATTTTTGATAATTACTTTCCAGAGTGAAATTGCGGAGTAAAGAAAAAAAAAATAATAATGCCTGATAGTGATGCCTGTTGGTCATTGGAGTTAAGTTTAGACAGTGCACAGGCATAAATGAAGTGACTGCAGACATACTGTTCATCGCGGCTTGGGGCAAGAGTGATTAGATTGTGTGACTTAGGTCTTTCAGTATTTTCTTTGGTGTTACATCTGTTACCAGATTCTAAGCTTTTTCTTGTGTTTATACTTTTCAAGAGAAGTTTCTGTGAAGGTTTTTCTCTTCCATGACTTCGCTGAGATGCTCTCAACTGATTTCATTTGTACAGACATCAATTAAACTCCTAGTTAGACACAGCTAGACTTCACACTGTAATTATTTATGGGCTACTCCCAGTCTTCTCATTGGATAGAACAATTGATTTAAATGATCTAATAATAATCCATCACTACCCTGGGGCATGTAATTGCTCATAAATACAGTACTTTGTGTCTCATCTTTGTTTTCAGAGCCCTGTTATAAACTTATCTAATACAGCTTCAGTGCTTGTAAATAGTAATATGTGCGGAAATAAATAGATCTTCCAAACAATAAATCAAGTAATGGCATTCAGAGTGCAGTGTAGGCTCTGAACCCAATTGAAAAAAAAAAAAGGGAAAGACAGGCCAATTTTAAAAAAATAAAATTAATGAGCACCACAACCTAGAAATTAGAATTTCTCTCATAGAAGAGAGAAAAAAGATGGAAAACTTTGTAAAGGAGAAAATTTATACTGCTGCTGACCTGCAAATGGTTTATGGTATTGTCTTACTGCAACTCCCTTGGGAAGAATTTTTTTTCATTTTCTCATTGCAATACTTGGAACAGCCACAGGACCCATAGCAGGATCAGCTACAGGGTTCATCATGAGGGCTGGAGACACAGCAGGGTCTCACGTAATGCTTGGAGCAGCTGCAGGACCTATTGCAGGAACTGGAGCTGCTGCAGGACCTGTTAATGAAGTTAGAAGGTCCCTTGCATTGTCATCAGAGAGGTATTTATTTTTCTTTTCCTTGAGGATGCTGGTTAGTGTTGAACAGTGCTTGGTAGACATAGGTCAAGCCCCAGCACGCTGCAGTGATGTGTGCCTCCTTAGGATTGCTAGGCAACTGCAGATCTTTTCCAAATATTGTACTAGATCTTCAGAGTTCTGCAGTTATTCAGAGGTGAAGTTCCAAAGCACTAGGGGTGCCCACTGCTCCAGCCATCTGCCCACACCATCCCACAATCCCTGTCATCCAGAAGTGTCCTGTCTTGGGGCAGATCTCTGGGTGATATTCTTAAATAATTGTTAAATATTAAACTTAGCCTGAATAACATTCACAATGCATAGCAATAGAAGCATGCTGGTTTGAAATCCCACAGATATTCAGAATTTTCAGGAGCTACTCTGTCTCCTGAGCTCTTGGGAATGAAGGAAAAGTGAAAGGGAAGCTGAGAAACTGCTGGAAGGCGTTCACCTCTATATTCTCCGTAGCCAGATTCCCCAACGAGACAAATCAAAGAGTGTAATTAGTAAAAATGTCAATAATACAGTTTCTGTAGCCTAAAGATGACTGCAATGCTGAATGCACACTAAACATTACTTTAACATTGGCTCCGTACAGCACTACTTAGCAGTATCTACCAAAATATAGCATCATACCTGTCACTCCAAAGGAAATCATTCCATCCAGCTGAAACTAAGACAGTTATGTGGGGAGGATTTATTTTTCCTCTCTCTAAGAATCTACTGTGGATGAATGTGCTAAGCTAATGTTCTTAAGCTTCTGCATGGAGGTCTATATTGTCTACACTAACTCAGTTTTAGCAACTAGACTAGAACCATAATACTCTCACAGATTAGGCAGGGATACTTCTGCAC